CCTGGGTGGCTCAGTTGGTTAAGCAGCTGCCTTCGGCTCAGGTCATGATCCCAGCGTCCTGGGATCGAGTCCCGCATTGGACTCCTTGCTCGTCAGGGAGCCTGCTTCTCCCTCTGCCTCTGCCTGCCATTCTGTCTGCCTGTGCTCACTCTCTCTCCCTCTCTCTCTCTGACAAATAAATAAATAAAATCTTAAAAAAAAAAAAAAAAAAAAGATGCTGCAGTCTGTTTGCTGACTCTGTTCGGTAAAGGTTTAAAACCAGAAGCTCCGAGAAGACGGGTCCAGGTAACCATCCAGCCACATCTACCCGTGGCAAAAAGGTTGGGGCCTATTTCCTGAATTAATTCAGAAATAAAACAACAACCGCACAAAAACGGAAACCCTTGGTCAGAGTTAACTGAGTCATGAGGGCAACTGTGGTTCTTGGGCCGCTCCTTTCCCGGGTCGGTGCCTTTGTTTCCTGTTTGCGTTGGCCACAGGCGCGTGCCCGGCAAAGGTGTGAAGGGAGGCTGGGAAGAGGTAAATGTCTGTTCGGGTCACCTCTCTCCAGCTGTGCCAGTGGGTTGGGATCCTTCTGGATTCTCTAGGATTTGCAATAGGAGGACAAGGCAGGCATTCTCGAATTGGTTCTTTTGACTCAGTGGCCTTTTTGGTGGGAACAACTGTCCCCAAAATTAGGGTTGGTAGAACTAAGAAAAACAGAATGTAAGTGAAAGGACTGAGGATCTCCGTGAGATGAAATGAAGAAAATCCTTGGTTATGACTGTTAATACCCGCCCCCCCAGCACTTCAGAAAATGTTTGTTGTGGGTCACGTACGTGATGATTTGATGAGCGGAGGGTAGGTGGAATCAGATTCGAATTTGTCTCTTGCTTCGGAGTTTTTACAGTTGTGGTGCTTATTCCAAAATACCCAGAATTAATTCCAAAAAGAACCAGGTTTGGGGAGATTAGCTGCCCTAAGGCAGTCCTCTGACTTCAAACCAGGGGTGCGAAATCCTCTAGAATTATAGTAGAAAGAACAGGAGCAATTAACTGTTCCAAGTTCCACATTTTGGCTGAGGAGATTGGTGCAGAGACTGGGGGGGGCGGGAGGCACTCATCACCATGGTGATAAGTCTGGTGAGAAGTGAAGGAATGACAAAACACTAGAGAGAAGGAAGATGTGGGAGATGCTGGGAGGTGTATGAAAGAAAAAAAAAAAGGAAGCCAAAGAGAACTGACAAGTTTCTTGAATGAAAGAGATTAGAATCCTTGAGAATAAAGGGACCTCGACAAGCAAATGGCCAAAGTAGAAAGGGGCAAGTCCTTTTTCCTGCAGAATCATGGGGTCATCAAGTTCAGCTCAGCCCATCAACAAGACATTGCTGCCTGGGACTCCCAGCCTTTTCTCATAAGCCCCCTCAGCCCCCCCAAGGGCCAGTGAGATGGTGCTGAGAAGAGCCCATTTCACAGATGAGACTGCAAGAGGCAGAAGGACAGGGGCTCGTTCAAGTTCATAAAACTACAGGGGCAGATGTCACAGGCCGGTTTTGTACTCCTTATTCCATTACACCACATGGCTGCCTGGGCTCAGCGGATTCTCAGAGAGTAGATGTTACAGTGAGAAGATTTTAGAAAAATGATTGAGGACTGAATCAGTTTCTCTGGAGAAGAAGCTAGAGAGCGAAGGCACTGAAAATGAGAACATGTGAGGGGATGCCTGGGTGGCTCAGTCAGTGAAGCGTCTGCCTTTGGCTCAGGTTATGATCCCAGGGTCCTGGGATCAAGTCCCGCATTTGGGCTCTCCTCTGAGCAGAGGGCCTGCTGCTCACCCTGCTTGTGCTCGCTGGTTCTCTCTCTCTCTCTCTCTCTCTCTGACAAATAAATAAATAAAAAATCTTAAAAAAAAAAAAAAGAGGATGTATGAGTCTTTAAACAAATGGACAATTTTACATTTCTCCATTCCATTTAAACTGTGTTTTCCATGGCTTAGCTGAACCAAGCTGCTCACGGGACAGTTAAAGAGGGGAGAGAACAGCCTTCTTAGTTTTGTCGGGGGCCAGTCATCCCTGGATTCTTGGATGACAGAGAAGAAGTTCCACGGGCCTTTACCTTCCCTGATTTGTGGGCAGGACACAGCTAGCTCCTGTGGGCTGAGAGAGAAGGAGGCAAAGGGGGCTTGGCCGAGTTGCACTCTCTGGCTTTGAGGATTGCATCTGATGCATGGGAGAGCCTATTCTAGGGGTTGGCCAAGCCAAAAAGACTGAGCCAGCAGGCCAGGTGACCATTTATGCAGGGGGTAGAAGTTTCCAGAGCTCAGGAGAAAATGGGCTATGCAGGCAATGGAATCAGGCACCAGAGAAGAAATTTTTTTTTTCTTTTTCCAGCTTTGGTCTGTGTTGGGTAAAAACCCATTTTAGAATTAATAGAGATTTCTTCATCTGATCGGGGCAATTGCTAGCTTGAATTTATTGCTGAATTCAACCACATGGGCTCATTGAATGAGTCATTATTCAGCTTTTAGTGCAAGGAGGAAATGGGAGGCCCCCTCAGAGTCTGATGAAGTACTGAGGAAATTAAATAGTTCTCTGGACAAAGGTGCATAAGGGATGGATGGAAGCAGAGATGAACGAACATTTCCCTAGTCCGGGAGAGTGGACAACAGTCATACACTCTGTCTGTGTGTCATTTATCACCTTGGATGTATGAACAAAAATTGCTTATATTTTGAAAGCAGCTAGGTAGAAACTTGCTTGAATTTGAGCAATAGATAAAGCCAAAGAGAAGAGAATTTCAACTTAAGTTGAAATAGCCAAAAAAAAAAAAAAAAAAAAAAGGCAGTTAGAGGCTGGGGGAGGGTTAGGGCTGGCTCTCAGCTGCGTTTATATCGGGGCTTGATTGCATAGCCCTTACTAACACTTTGGGAATATCAGTCCCTTCCCAGGTGCTAACCCTCTTGATCCACATAGAGAACCATCGATGTATAGTATTTCTCCCAATATCATTTCCTTTCAGTCTTTGGAGAAAACCCAGTTAAAGTAAATGTCACTGCTGTCATGCAGCTTGGGTGGCCCAGTTGGATGCAGTGTCTTGTAAAAATGTGCTAATTATAACATTGCATGTTGGGAGTAGTTGGGGAGAAGGGTTCTGACCACTTTCTTCTGTCAGAAAAATGAAGCGGATGACGGCTGGGCTCCAAGTGGGAGCAATGCCCTCCTGTATGCGTACATAAAAGACCGGGTAGAGGCACCCGGGTGGCTCAGTCAGTTGAGTGTCTCGTGAGCCCCATGAGTGGCTCAGCGCATGGTCTCGGGGTCATGGGATCAAGCCCTGAATTGGGCTCCACACTGAGTTTGAAGTCTGCTTGCGATTCTCTCCCTCTCCCTCTGCCCATCCCCCACTCTCTTTCTCTCTCAAATAAATAAAGTCTTAAAAAAAAAACAAAAAACCAGGTAGACTCAAGCAGGGAGGACCCAGAGGGCCTGCCAAGGTTGGAGAAGTTCAGGCATGGCTTCCTTGGGGCATCCTCCAGAACTGTGGGCACACAGCTGGCTGATTCAGGGCCTCACACATGGCTTGACACAGTAAGGGAGTGCCCAGGTTAAGAGGGGGGGCTCTTGAGTCAGGTAAACCTGGGTTTGAATCTGAGCTCTACCCCTTTCTGGCTGTGTGTTATAAGTCACACTATTTTGCTTTTCCAAAGAATCTGTTTTCTTCATCTTTAAAATGGAGAGAATAGTACATTGACCCATAGAATTCCTGTGGGGATTGGTGAGATTCTCTGTGAACTTTACAGGCTGCCGCCTGGACCCATGTGTACTCGATAAGTGATAGCAATCAGGGTTATTTTATTTATTAAGTCATATGTAGTCAAGCTTCGCCATACAACAGAGATAGTGAGAGCAGCACTCCTAAGACATGGCCTTCTCCACATGAAGTCAGAGGCCCCAACCACCTGCCACCCCCAACAACTCCTTGGAGGGAACTGGTCAATGTCCTGTCCCCATCGTGCCATCCTGGACCCCCTTAACCTCCCAGCTCCAATATCTTACCTCATGCCAAACAACCTGGCAGACGCAGTAACTGGTCCCATGTTGTGACATGACTGGGATTTTAGCTTAAGAGTTCGTGTTAAACACACTCAAGCCTTGTTATTCTTTGGTTCCATAAGCATTTGCTTATGAGATTCCTTGTCCTCTTTGCTTCTGATTTCTCCAGTGTTCAAGACCAGGGGGTGGGTACAGAAAGAATGGCAATGGCTGCCATAAGCCCCTGTGCCCCTTCCACTGGGAGGCTCGAGTGCGTCAGGTTGGACTTGCGGACATCTTTGATTGCCCTGTGGGAGGTGCTGCCAAGGCCTCATCGTCTGCAAACCATGGCAAAAAGTAAGGCGCAGAGTTGGCAACAGAAAATAGTACAACCTGAAAGGTGGGAGAGAGTAGAAGGGAAAGACAAAAGGATGAGAGAATAAAAAGAAAACAGAGAAAAAGAAATTAAAAGGAGGTGGAGGTTGTAATACTGTGAAGCTTAAGAATCAAGAAGTGATCGTAGTTCTAGAAAGTGGTAGTGAGATGGTTAGAAAGCCTCAAAGAGTCAGTATTAGGAAGGAGCTTTTGCAGCATTGTGTGACCCATATCCCTCTCTTTATGACTGAGGAGTTGAAGAAAAGAGAAAAAGTGGGGAGGAGAGAAAACTTTGTCTCTCTGGGGGCAAAACTGGGGGACTATTGGCTACAAGATCCTTTCCAAAGGTAACATAATCTCTGAATTATAAGCCATAGATATATTATTAAGATTCCTTGTTTGGTTAAGATAGGTCGCTGTGGTCTGTGTGACTTCTGTGAAAGTCACCTTGTAACAGATGATGTGAATGTATTTGATTTTCTCAGTTCTCAGAAACTAGGATCATAATGCCCTTTAGTTTTAAGTTTTAAGTAGCTTATATAGTCTGATGGCTTTTTAAAAAGTTGACCAGTCCTTAGGTATGTTCCGGAACTAATGCTGAAAGTAAGAACCTCAACTAGAACCAGGTCCTAGAGGTTCTGGTTTTCCTTTGGGTGGTTCCTCAGCTGGCTCATTGTTAAAATCTATGATATCTGTTTCCTTGGTGTCCAGATTTTCCATTAAATACAGCATATCAGGAGAGGCTCGAGAGCCAGCCACGATGTTGATTCCACTGGTCTCTGAAGATGTTTCTGTGTCGAGTAAGAGAATGGGCTCAGGGCTCATGGGATCTGGGCGGAGGCCCACTGGGGAGGTGTGGCTGGACTCCAGGAACCCCGGGAGGCTCCACCTTTTCAGGAACTTGTCATCTTTAGGGTCTTCCCCAGAGACAAATGTGGGAACATTTCTTTCATCTTTGGCAGAACTAGTCTGGGGACTGGGATCCCTCGGAGGTGTCCCTTTCTCTGAGGGGCAAGGAATCAATCCCACGGGGACCTCCTGCTGTCCAGTCCCACTTGGCTCCACCCCAGTAAACTCTGCACTCTGAATGGAGGCCATGGAGCCATCGGACACAGGCACTGATGCCTCGGCCACTGTGATCAGTACCTCGGGCACCTGCGGCATTTTGGTGGGGGAGACCCTCACACTGGGCTGTGGACTCAGGCTCTGCAAAGTGCTCGTCCGGCTGGTCTCCCTGATGGTGGACAGCTCCCCCAGGCTGGAGTACATCTTGATGCTCCCCTCTGGGGGGCAGGTCTGGTTCGGGGTGCCTGGGGCACGGTGGTAGCTTCTGGAGGGCACGTCCAACAGATCCCTGGCTGGGCTGACATCACCGCTTGGGGGAAAGAACATGGAGCTGTCACTGGCCTGCCGGCTGTAGCTTCTCCTCCGGGGGCTGGAGGGGTGTTCGTGGGCGCTCAGGAATCTCTTGACTCTCCTAATCACGGAACGGCGGTGGCCGTGCTTCTCGTAACTCCACAGCCAGTCCTCGCCAGGGAAGTCGGATCCAGACAGTCTGAAACACACAATGACACAATGCAGGCAACTCGGCTTTGGGACCCCAACCCTCCAGGCAGTATCTCAGAATTAAGGACAGAGTCTGGAATGTTTGCCTTCCAGATCTGGAAATGGAGGGGATTTTAACCTGAGAGAGTCTAGCAGAGATTCTCAGAACTTTTGGTCCCAGGACCTTGTTAAACTCTGAAGCACTATTGAATACCCCAAAGAGATTTGTTTATGTGGGTTATAGCTATTGCTATTTACTGCATCAGAAATAACCAAGGCGGGCACCTGGGTGGCTCAGTGGGTTAAAGCCTCTGCCTTCAGCTCAGGTCATAGTCCCAGGGTCCTGGGATCGAGCCCCGCATCGGGCTCTCTGCTCAGCAGGGAGTCTGCTTCTTCCTCTCTCTCTCTCTCTGCCTGCCTCTCTGCCTACTTGTGCTCTCTGTCAAATAAATAAGTAAATCTTTGAAAAAAAAAAAAAAAAGAAAGAACCGAGGAATATAAAAAAGAAAACCCACACATACACGAATGCGCAAGCACACATTCCATTAAATGTTAAGTGATGACATCATCACGTAGCATGGAGCCTCTGGAAAATTCCACTGCACACTCAGGAAAGAATGAGAATGAAACAGGTAAATAACATTTTAGTGTTGTTAGAAAAATAGTTTTGACCTTAAGGACTTGGGTCTTGTGGGGGGATCCTAGTTTTTAGGGATTCCCAGCAGTTCCCAGACCATACTTTTGAAAATCACTAATTTAGAGATCTGAACATTAATCAAAAAAAGGATACAATGTGCGTTCCTTCAGCCTTATTACAGGTGAACTAAGGGCCATGAACTAACGATCTGTGAAGCCCCCCAAAACAATGGATCATAGGTAAATGCAAGACCCTGCAAAACATAGCTGACACATTTATTTAAGTACCTCCTTTCACTTAATTACCACATTCATTGTGTGAGCTGGTACTATTATGATTCTCACTTAACAGATGAAGAAACTGAGGCCCAGAGAGATTCCTAAGGGCTATGTAGCCCGTGGAGGCAGAACTCAAATCTGACTCCAAAGCCTTTGTTCTTAATCCCTTTTATATAGAGTCTGCTTCATGGGTGTCGGGTGATAAGGTAGGCCTGGGGGTGGCCGGGGGCGATGCAGATTAATGAGTAAAACAGTCCTTGCCCACAGGTAATTTGTTACCATCCCTGGTCTTCTCACCTAGGGTTAAGGAAGGAGAAATGTGAACACTGTGGCAAGAGCACAGCCACAGAGGAGGGCTGGTGTGTGGTGTGTGGCCTGGCCATGCGGCTGGGCTCTGCACGGCTGAAGTTTGATTTGGTAATGTTGCATTTTCAACATTGGGGACATAAAACAAATAACCCTACCCTTTTGAATCTTCTCCTTCAAGGCTGAAATAAAATGGGTAATTGGGATAGGAGTGAAAACTATGGGGTAGTTAGGTCAAGTCCGGCCTCCCAGTACATGGTGCACATCCATCCGGTCTTACTGAGGTTCAAGGTTAAACCTCGGCCTGAAACCACACATGCTCGCACTGGCTCTGGGAGCACCCACGCTCCGCTGGAGCGGTCCAGGATTTGTGAGGCCATCCGTGTGACTGTCGGTGGGGACGAGATGCCTACACAAGGCCAGGTGCACTTTCTGTGACCCAGAGGGTAAAGTTGGAACAGCACGATACGGGTGTAACCTGAAAGGGCACAGTGAGCAGCAAAGAGAACGTTGTCGCTCCGTGTTTATGAATAAAAGATGGCTGAGTGAGATGATTAACCAGCTGAATGTCCCCGGTTGGCGTCCGATTACAACCTCGTGCTGTTCTTCTAAAGCTCCAGCAGGGCTCTCGGCTACCGGATAGCCTCTGCCCCGCTCCCCCCACCCCTCCGCCCGGGCTGTGCCTGGCTCAGATTCTCTTACACATGGACTCCAGAAACGCAGACTCATGCCTCAGTAACCTCCTCCCCCCCCCCCCGCTTGGATTTCCTGAGGTCAGATCTGCAGTCACACTTCAGGAGGGCATTCGGTTATGGAGGGCACCCAAGGAGCGACAGTGAGGTCCTTCTCTAAAATGACCACGCTGGGAATCTGAGGCTGGGCTGGCAAGCTCCCTCAATAGGGTGAGCCTCTGTCCTCCATTTGGGGTCTTTACTTTTTTTTTTTTTTAAAGATTTTATTTATTTATTTGACAGAGATCACAAGCAGGCAGAGAGGCAGGCAGAGAGAGAGAGGGAAGCAGGCTCCCCGCTGAGCAGAGAGCCCAATGCGGGGCTCGATCCCAGGACCCTGGGATCATGACCTGAGCCGAAGGCAGAGGCTTTAACCCACTGAGCCACCCAGGCGCCCCTGGGGTCTTTACTTTTTATTGGGGATTTGTCTTCCTTGACTCCTCCTGAACCACACAACCCTGTAAGAATGATAGTATCTTCCAAGAAACCCGGTTGTACCATCAGTACTTCAAAACTTTGTAAACCCTAAAAGGACACAATTTTCTAACGATGCACTGATGTGAGGGACATGTATATTCAATGGGGGCAAGAGGATTAAGGCCCTGTGTCACCAGTTAGAGAAAAACAGAGCGGCTGCAAGGCACAAACTGCAAAAGGGCAATGCTCTTGCTCTATTAGTACTGATTCACCAACTGACACCCGGCAGGGCTGCCCATGAGATCCCGCTGCACCTTCTTGCCTCAGTAGACTGTGGTGTGGACGCATGAGATTTATCCGCTTACCCGACTCAATCTATGTGAGCACTGGCTATGAATAAATTGGGTGCACAAGTACTATATCACATCATTTAAAAGGCAGGAGAACCTTGTATATAAATAGCTACATTTGACGGTCAAGTAAGCTTTCAAGCTGGCTTTGACATAGAGTAGGAATCGAATGGGCAGAGAAGGGACTGAGCATTCCAAGTGGAAGAAATGACTTGAGCAAATGAGACAGGAGAAACTCTAGGGTGTTTATGAGGAATGGGAGATACCTGAGTTGTGTCAAGCACAGAAGAGTGTCAGGCAGACAGCTGAGAAGGCAGCCTTGGACTGTGGTATGGAGTCTCACATACTAGGTTGAGGGATTTGGACTTGACCGCAGAGGTGGGTAGTTCTGGACTGTCTTTGTGGATGGAAGGCATGAGTAGCTGTGTGCTGTTTGGTCGTAGTGTGCAAGCTGGAAAACTACATGGAAAGCAACACTGATGAGTGTGGTCATCCAGAAATGCTTTGGATGAGAAACATGATGCAGGAACTTTCCCTGCTGTTAGTCTGAAGGACCCAATGGGGGGTTCCTTGGAGGAACACTTGGCAGCCAGGATCTGGGTAACTGATGTGGTAAAGGAGGCCTTCCTGGTGTTTATGTTCATTCCAGAACTTAAGAGCAGCAGTGAGACTCCCTAGCACGGTGAACCTAACGACCTTTCCTCCAAGTGTTTCCGTGTGTGAACGTCTCAAGATCCCCATCTCCTTTCTCCCGCAGTCATGGTTCCTAATATGATGGCAGAAACCATGGTCTGAGAACAAAATGGTTTAAAGCTTAGAGTACACGGAATGGAAAACATTAAAGGTTTTTCATTTCTCAGTTGGCGAGGCTTGGATGTACCTTTTAGGTCCTTTTAGACTTTCTTCTCCTCCTTATTTGGTTTTTACGAAAGTGTCCCTTTCGTATAAAGAAAGTGTCCCTTTCGTATAAAGGTTAGTACAATCCTGAGGCCCAAATATAACACCACTTAAAATGCCTCAAAACAATGATAGCGGAAACATATTGCTTTACATTAGAGAAGGTCAGCTGAAAAAGGTCTTAAGTTCTGGAATTTGCTTGGAGTTAGATAAGCAGGTAATTAGAGCTCAGAGGACATTCATGGAAAGTGCCATGCAGCCATTAGTGTCCAGAAGATGGAATTTGAGAATTGCCTCTGTGGTGAGGAAAATGATTTATTTCAGGAGCTTACAGAGCCAGGATTTCTGCCGCCTGGGCTGACTCTAACCAGCTGTGTGACCTGAGGAGAGCCACTTAACCTTTCTGTGACTCAACATCTTACTCGATAAACTAGGACAACAGTACTTTGTCTACGTGCCTCACAGGCTGTTGGGAGTTCAAAAGGAGCAATAGATGTGGAAAAGCTTTGACGAGTATGACGTGAAAAGGACTCTGTCAGTGACTGGTAGACTGCCAGAGGCGACTTCCAAGTCATCGCTGACTTCTCGCACCTGGTTGGAGGAGAGGATAGCATGTGCCCGAAGGTTACTCCCTTTTCTCCTCCCAGCGTATATTTTACAAGTGTCACTACACCTTGGAGCTGCCGACTGACAAGGAACATCTTAGAAGGGAGGACGCCGACAGTCATTTCATGGTTAGACGAGGGCACTGAAAGAATGGAGAGGAAGCATGGGGACAGGAGAAACTAGGTTCCTCTGGAGAAGGAAGATGGGGCTGATCAGGTGGTTTTCGTGCCACTGGCAGACGTGGCCCAATCCGGCAGTAAACACCGACTGCGCAATGTAAATCATCAATACAGAAGAAATGATATTAAAGAAGGTTGTGCCAAGTACTGGGCTCTTTTTGAAGGGGTGGAGAAGGGGAAGTGGGGGACAGAGACTAGGTTCTGTTAAGCCAGTCAGGCTAGTTGGAGCTAGCCAAGCCAAGGAGGGAGAACATGAACTATTTCTATGGGTCACACTGGCGCCAGGATTGGATGTGTTCTTATTTCAATCTCAGCTGTTAAAAAAGACCAACAATCCACATTTTCAAGATATCTGTTGAACACCGACAACACCATCAGCCCCACAGTCTCCCTTTCCAGTGACAGATATCTGAACGCCTGAGCAGCAGTGATTTAATTAAGGGCTCTTGAGAAGCTGCTTGAGCTGGTCAGGGTGCTGAAGAACACTTGTCACCTCCTGTTGCCATAATAAGAGGCAGGGGAGAGGACTGCTGGAGATGATGGTGACTTTCAGAATTCTTGGGGTGTGTCTGATATGGCAAGACCAAAACAGCCCTGATGAGAGGTTTA